GGAGTGAGTGGCTGGTGGAGTACTTAACTGCATGAATTGGGCATGTGTCTAATGGTCTTAAAGTGTGCCAAGTGTGGAGGATTTCTTCAATTCCCTCCTTGACAAGTATTCGTGAAAAATATAATGGAAATGGACTACAATTTCCTTGACTTGATTTATGGTGCCTGTGGTTAACTCCATAACGAGCTGTTCTAGTGCAAAAGCGCAGCGAAGGCTTAGACCACGCGACAGTGGCTTGCAGTTCCTGGATCAACAATAATAATAGAAATAATAAAGGCATTGTGCACAATAGTGTCCCACAGCCCTTGCCTTCAATGGAGTCGCACTTGGGCTTTTGTTTATGACGCAGTAATATTGAAATCTGGATAATTGTGCAAAAGGATGTGAAAAACCGCAAATACTTTGCTGGCAACATCCAGAGACCCATTCAAACCCAAGCGTAGATATCTTGAGCACAATTTTAGTGCTGCGACAAGGACCTACAAAGAACCAAGCGAAATGGTCAACAACTGAGCTAAAGTGGACCACAGTAAGAAAGAGAGGGAGAAAGGGAGAGAGAGAGAGACGGAGTTAGAGCTCTGTCATGCAGAAAGTGGTCAACATTTTTGCCAGCGCCATGGGCAAGAATAAAAGACGCCAAATGCGAAATGCAGCAGCAAAGGTAGCAATCATAGTTCCATAGAGTCCAGAGCAACAACAACAACAACAACAACAACAACAACAACAACAACAACAACAACGACAACTATTATAACTACTACAGCTAGAGCAGTGAAAAGTAATAATAATAACCTTCTCCTAACTTCTGCTTCTGCTTCTGCTTCTGCACTTGCGGTAATAAACCAAAGACATTTCAGTTTTGAGCTCGTAAACTCGTAAATGCGGCTATGCAAAAAGGCAAATTAAAAGAGCAACCAGCCAGCCAGCCAGCACCGAATTAAATGAAATATTTTTCAAAAAAATGTTCAATAGCTCGAATAACAAGGTTTGTGGAAAACAAAGGAAATGTTTATGAATTCGACTAAATTAAGAGAGCTAGTCTACAGAAAGGATAACTGATAAATAGAAAAGAGCTGAAATAACAATTTTAGTATGTATTAGAGGAATATGCAAAAAAAAATAAGTTAATATATTGGAATAAATTAATATTTTCAAAATTCAAACTCGATTTTCAATGAGAAAAATGTATTAACTTATAAAAGAGCTTGATAAAAAATATTAATCAAACCAGCTTGTATAAAATGAAATAAGTGAACAAGTTAACTAATTCATATCCGTATATTAAATAATTCAACTAATATTTAATCTAATTAGAGCTATTTCAAAACCTTTGTCACCTCTTAAAATATAAAATCATATTGTTCATATTAAAAGTATAGGTAAAGATGTGTCCAACTATCAAGAGTAAAATGGAATAAAATGAAATGAAGAATTGACGAATTGAAATTGCAATTATTATTGCTCTGCACTAACTTTACTAAAATGTATCTAACTAAAAATCTCTTGAAATCTCAACCATTGCTTCAGCAGCTAAAGCAGAAATCCTTACAAACATAACTTCACATAATCTGACGTTAATTTCTCTTAAATTCCCTCAACACCGAAGCTCATTCAAATTTCTGAGCCCTAAGTAAAAATAATGCAAATGCTGAAGTGCACAAAAATTGAACAACAAAAATTGCATTCGCTTTCATATGCAGCAGGCGCATAATTCAAAGCACCTTTGACCCCCTCTGAAAGAATATTCCAAAAAAATAGAAAAATACCCCAAAATAAAAATTAGCTACAGCTCAACCTCAGATCTCATCAACTCATTTGCTTCGTCTGAGCCATCTCAAAGGACTTTTTTGTTCATAATTAATGCTCGCACAGAGCAAATGTTCAAAGATATTTTTCGCCCTTTCTCCGCTGCCCAAATGCCTTTTGTGCAAATGTCAAGAGCAGCGACAGCCGAAACAATCAAAAATAAAATGCAAAAGCGCGCAAAAGTGCAAACGACTTTTACCTTTATTTTTTACTGTTACTTTTCTCTCTTGTGTCTTTTTTGGCATATGCAAATGAGTTGGCAGGACCTGCCCAACCGAATGACAGACAGGCAAACACTTTCTTCGCATGTGAAGGCTGAAACTGGAACTGCATCATTTCAGCCTCGCAGTTTGTTTTGACTGGCTGCCTAGCTGGCTAGGTGCCTCGGTGCCTGAGTGCATGGGTGCCTGGCTGCCTGCTCGGCTGTCATGATTTATTTACTCACGGCGTGCGCGTATTTATCAAACTCTAATTAATCGGTGATAAACCGATCAAGACGCTAAATGCTGAGCTACACGAAGCCGCCAACCCAGTCGAGAAACAAGTTTCAACTCCCAACTCTCGACTCTCAAGTGGAGTCTGCCAGCTTGCGGTTTCTGTTTCATAGTGTGCATCCATTACCATGTGATTTGCTCGACTCCAACTCGCATCCAAGTGCCGCTTTGCCCATTTGGCGAGTATTTTGTTGTATTTGCTAAAGCAATTTGCTTTATACTCCCCAAACTGGACTGGCTCCCCAGCCCCCATCTGCTTTTACCTCTGCGATTGCCGATGCAATCAATACATGCTCGTGTCCAGCAAATAATAGACTTCAAACTGGCATTTTAAGCGTTTCTACTCTGTGTCTCTGCCTCTTTCTCTCTCTCTTTCAAGCTCGCTCTCTGCCACTCTTTCCCTCTCTCTCTTTCTATATATATATATATATATATATAGTTTGGGTTATGGGTATCTCATGTTTCCGTGTGCTAAAATTTTTCTTTCAAATGCACACATAGTTAAGCCAGTAATAGTTGAAGTTTGAGTTGCAGCAAGCAATTTCAATATAAAGGGTGTTCTTTTGGTAAGTGTTTAAAGGCAAAGAAAATCAAAATGAATTGGGCTTGTCTCTAATATTCTTGTCTCTATTCGTTCACCTTACTTAAATTATTGTGCAAGCTGAATATGATGGAAATGAACTCTAATTTATTGCTTTTATTTCTAGAGACTATATGTTCTAGCTCAGTCAATATACTCTAACACAGACTATTTATATATGTGTCAATGAAGCTTTTTCAGATTGAATCTTAAGGTTGAACACCCTGTAAAATGCATTACATTAAACTTTTAACATTATGTATCAGCTCTAACCAACTCAAACACACAAATACTTTTCTTCCAAGTATAACTCATATGGCAACATAACCATTATCAGTTAGAATTGCGAATGTTAGATGGCTTTGAAGCAATTGGCATTGAATCGTAAAGCTAAAACACCCTGTATATGTTTAAGAAATTAATTCAGATGATTTGTGCCATCGAAACGTCGTTTATTATTTATAAAACTCTCAATTGATGTGAATTAGCCAAGAGTCAAATTAACTTGTAAACGAGAATTCCATTTGGACCAGAATTATATAGAACGGAACACCCTGTTTTCATAGCATAGCAATGACCTCTAATCCACTTTGGCAAATCAATTTATTAGCCATGTATGACTTATGCCTTTTTAAATGTGCGCTTGCATGTGTTGCCTAGTTTAAAGTTGAACGTTTATAGGTTGGCTCCCTCCCTCCGCCACACTTGCGTCGCTGTCCCCAGCCCCTTCGACTTGTTCATTTTGTTTGGGGGCAGTCCGCACAGAAGAGGCGCAACAAATTTATGTTAACATGCACTGCGTAGCGCCCTCTGGTGTGTAATTTGGCGTTGTTTAGGCATCACGATTAAAGTTTTCGCCTTGACCACGGCCAAGAGTCCCCAGCATTGAGTACGAGTGGGGGCCATAAAAAATATGTGTGTGTCTAAAAGCGGATGCATGGGTGTAAGCCATGATTATCGCGGCTATAAATGATATGTGTGAGCTGGTCTAACCAAACTCGAGAGCTGGACCCCAGCTCGGGCCACATCTCGTTTTGTGTTTCTGTTGCCCCGTTTAGCGTCCGACATGAGCGTGTGAAATACACAATGGGCGTGGTCGTAGCGATGCAACGCTCGCACTGCAAATGTATTTATTTATGGTTTAATAATTACAAGTAGCAGCAGCATAAGACTTGAGCCCGGCTGAGCCAAACTCAATAAACGGTTAAGTAGAAAAAATCTATTAAATATATTATATATATGCTGTAAATATTTAAACCGTTGCAGGCGCCACTTGTTACACAAAAAAATAAATAGATAAACAAGTTAAACAGTAGCCTGTACTAGACTAGAGGTTGTTAGTGCCACAGACTTCAAAAATTACAATATACAATCTGCTTTTACCTATTTCTATCTTTATATCTTCCTCGGTGCTTCGTTTTATTATCTTAAATACTCTTTTCATTAATTAATTTTTTACTTCTTTTATTTTCATCTTCTTTTTATTGAATGCGTGACTTATCCTTAACCTAGACACTACAAGTGCAATATACCCTTTTCACACATACATGCTGTAGTACAGAGTATACAGTTAGTTAGTTTTTATGGTGCAAGTTGTGGGCTGCATGTCTGCGACTCTGGTCGTTTCGCAGAGGACCAGGCGTCACTTTGAATATAAACGTTAAGTATAAAATTGAAAAAGCCATTTTGCTGCCAATTTAGCAAACACTTAAACCAATTTTGCACTTCAATCCACTGACGCACACACAAAAAAACCTTCAAGTCCCAGTTGCCACACATCCAAAAAAAATAGAAAGGATAGACGAGACAGAGCGGCGGGATATGCATCAGGCTTTTGCACTGCCATTGGCATTGGCATTGACGCCAACAACAGGAACAAGCAAGGAAAGAGATGAAGGCGAGAACGTTGCCAACAAAGTGTGAAAATGTCAAGTCGTAAACTGTTCATGGGACACCACAGTCGGATGAGGAGCTCGAAGTGGGGACTATCTAGCTGGGATAGCTCGAATAAATGCAGTTACTGCGATATAGAGCTGGGGCTGCATCCTGTTGGCATTGTGGAAACAATCGAAATCTCACACTCTGTGCGACTTCTGTCAAGTTACTTGAATGCTGCATAAATAGTTATGCTTACAACTATTAGCTCTCGATTTGAAAATGTCGTGTATTTGCCAGTATATAATCGGTTCTTCAGCCTCAATGAATGGCAACGAGGAGCCCATCGGATTTCCACTACCCAGTGCTAGCGAGCATGATGTTGTGTCTGCCATAGGCGAGGATAGTCCTGGCAATGGGTGAGACTGAGAGATCATTCGATTAGAATTAAAGCTGAATGTTTTCAATTAGCTCCACAGATCCTGTCACAGATGATACGAAGATATCTGTGTGTGTCTCCGAGCTGGCCGATTGTCGCGCCGAGAACTGGCTACTTAAGAAAAAGCTGGAAGAGCATGTGCTTACAATCCAGAATCTAGAGCATCTGATGACCACAATAATGGACAAACAGCACAAGATGCTGGCCGATGTGTTTCAACTGCGCCAACGAAATCAGGAACTCCAAACCGAATGCAATCTGCAACGTGAATACCACACGATGGAACGTAATGCCCTGATGAAGGAGCTTTGCAATGCTAAAAGCCTCAACAGGGACCACATGTGTGCACTGGTGAGTTAGTAGTTTGTTCGTACTTAACTACATTAAGACTACAGCTTGCCATCAGAGTGGTGAGGAGGATGTGTCTATCGAATCGGATGGTCGGGAATATGAGGAGCAACCCGAGAGCGATGTGGACAAGGATAATGAGGATGGGTATGAAGATGAACGGTCTGCAGGCTCCTCGGCTGATTCCACAGCTCCATCCTCGGCCAATGTTTCGATGTATTCCAATGACTCAGATTCCGATGAGAGCGAGGAGGAGGAACAGGAATCTGAGAATGAGCTGGACGACAGCTCAGGTACTGAAAGTGAATCCGACTAGATTAAATTGTATTTTATTTTAGTTAACATATATTTTGATCGTCTGCTTAGATATTTATTTGAGAACAATATTTATTCCCTACTTAATTAAAGTTACGGCTCGTTCATAATTTTGTGCCTTGAAGCGAGTGTGACATATCGATCTCATCGCTATTTTAAGCTTTATCACTGTTTCTTACCCGCTCTCGCATTAAAAAATCAAAATCACAAAAACGTGACAATCGCTCAAAACAAACGAAATAAATTTCTAAATAACGTGACAGTGCGACAAACAGGACGTCACAATGCTAAGCACAAAGCATTAAAACTCACGCAAAGTATTTGCATATCAAAATGCTGAACAAAACCTTTGCCAGACCGAGACTTCCAGCTTCCAACTCACAACTCTTAGTTGATTGAATGACTGACAAATAGAGAGAAAGAGCGAAGGAGATGAAGAGAGAGTGAGAGACAGAGAGAATGGGTAAGTGATAGAAAGAGAAACGAAGGACTGGGAAGCATTTAAATCACTGGCAAAAACGTGTTAAGTGTTTACCTATCGCAAAAGTTGAGACTCCGAAAAAAATACCAGAGTTTGTCTGCTAAATATCGAAAGTTGAATACCCTTTAATATAAAAGTGTAGTGGAAAAAGTTTATAAATATTGTACTCAAAAGTGCCAAAAATTAGTAAGGCATGAAGAGGATGATCGAGATAAACGATATTTTTGTAGTCTCAATACTTAAACAATTTCTTTTGATTCGATATACGATATATATAAATAATTAAATATATATATATGCATATATATAATGTCTTCAGCATGTCAGATCTATGTACTGTCTCACCAAGAAGACTTAACTGTCTGACTCATCTAGCATAGATAATCTTGAAAATATTTCTTTATTCATATTTCGCATTTAATAACAATTAACAATACCTTTTACAAGGGTATCACACAAAGAACCCAAACATCATAACCATAACGATGCTGCAGCCACACTCGCCTCACATGTCTGCCTTTTGGGACCGTGGAGCGTGTTACATGCTCTTCGTTATGCCCGCAGCAAGTGCCTGATAGAGGAATACAGGCGTGAGCTGGGCATGCAGTGTATGTGTATGTGTGCGAGTGCTTGGTGCTGGGGTAATTTATCAAGCCGCAAAAGTTTTTAGCACAAATGAGTCGTGGCAAGACAGGTCTAAAGGTCCTGCCTCCGTTTGCCGCACACAGGATTAATGAGTCTCGTGTGTTTTAGGTAAATCAGTGGACCCCTCACTTTCCTCTATCTCACGCTTCTTGGCCTGCGTACATCCTCGAGCCTGGGCTGGCAACACGTACTAATAATCCATCATCACATTCAAGTGTCAAGTTGTGGGCCTATAAAGATCGCTTATCACAGTTGCGACTTCGTGTATGTATATGTGTCTTTTTGTGAGCGTGTGTGGGTGATAAATTTTGGTTATAAGGCAAACAACAAAGCTGAAACACCAAATATCTTATAGTCACGATCTACAACATAGTTCACAGTACAAGCTTTACAAAGCTAAAAACAATTACTAGTTCATCATGCATTTCCTTTTTCTTCGAAAGAAATCTCAAAGGTTAGCTTTAATTATTTAAGATTTGCATATATCGCTTAAATAATCAACTCCAAGTACCATAACCCATTCACAACGCACTCCACACAATGACAATAAACTGAAAACTTCCTTTGTATAACAATTATTAATGACCGCAGACAACGACTCTATGCATATCGAGTCAAGAACTGTATGCGATATCATTTATCAGCTGAGAATTTGTTAAAAAAATACTTGTTGCGCACAAAAAAGATTTTCGTGTCACGTGAGAAGAAACAAACATGAATTTGACTGGCGTGCGGCTACCGGGGAAAAGCACCGAGACCCGGACTCTTACCCGCTTCCATTGCCAGAGATGTGAAACCGAACATGGCATAAAAGGATGGCGACTAAAATATTAATATGCGACGTGAAGCGCTGCGATGCGGCAACCTAAACGCTATGCAAATCGCATCATAAAAGGTAAAAAGATACCGAATTGTTGTTCCTCTGTTGTTATTGTTGTTGGTCAGCAAAGGTGTTGCTTTGTGGCTCCTTTGTGAAAGGTTGCCACCGAGGCGGCAGCAGCAGCAGCAACAACCAAAGTCGCAGCAACAAGTAGCACAAATTGCATGTGACCAGAGCTTGGAACTCCGTTTTGACTACCCTGTGGGCATGCCAGCGTGTTGAGAGATTAATGGATTTGGTTTGTGAATGACATTGAATTATATTGAAAGGCTTGTTAAGAGCAGACATATGAACACCGCTACTTACTGCTAGCTGGCAACTTGACGGACGAATAAAGTTGGTTTCAGGCTGTGCGGCTTGCTGCCGTTGAAAGGTCAACTGCTTTATGATATTTTAGAAAGGGTGGGCCACATAAATGGTCAGCTGCTGGCATGAAAACGACTTCTTAACAAAGTGACTTGTAAACTTCCTGATAAGTTCTCATGGTACATTTCGAACTACACCCGAAAGCCATACTAAACTAAATTTCTATGTCTGTGGTCAGCGTCGAAATAGTTTCTGTTAGCAGTGCAATGTAATTTTATTGAAGTTTTCTAATTTCATTGATTTGACATTCCAATAGGCAAAGGCAACATATATTTAGCTGCTTAAGTTATCCTCTGCTTACCTTTATATATGCAAATCAATCTGATAAGTCGTTCAACTGATTTAATCTGCAAACAAAATACAAAATGTTTCGTCGGATCATCGCCTACCTATTTACTGAAGCGAATAAAAATCAAAATAAAATGGAAACCTGCTGAGAAATGCCAGGCGAAATATAATTCGCGTGTTCTAAGCAATTTCAAACCAATAATCGTTGGGTGTCCTCTAAATTAAGTAACCAGAGCCATGCAAGCCCAAATGCAGACCTTATGAGCATGTTTGTCAATACGTTCACGAAGATATGTGAATGGCAATGGGAATGGAATGTGTGTGCGAGAGTTTGGCATGGGTGGGTGGAGATGGGTCCTATAAATGTTTTTATTTTGAGAACTAATCTAAAATTAAAATCATTTTGCGGTTGGCAAACAACGATAAATGGTTAGATGGATGGATGTATAAAAGGTTGTTGGAAATGTTGGTTGGCTGAGCGAATGATATATGACGATTGATATCAGCCAGGCCCGCAAGGCATGGCTGCATATACTTTTGTGCCCTAATGAGAATGACAAACCAACAATGCAAATATTACCCAAAAGTAAAAATAGAAAACAACAAATGAAAGGAAAGAAATCGAAAAACTCAATTAAACAAACACACGCAGACAGTTGGTTAGCTGGTTCTGTTAGCTGTTGTAGGGGCTGTTTTTTTTTATATTTGAGGTAAACTCTTCGGGGGTGGCGTTAATAAACAGTTTGATTTTAATCAATGAACCGCAAAAGCCAAAAATACATGAAAACGCCATCGAAAGGTAAATGATACGCGGGACAGACAAAGTTTTTTTAACTCCGCGCTGTTTAATTGTAAACCTCTTTCCGGTTATGCGAGACGTTTCATTCGTCCGATTAAATGCTTTCGTATTTTCGTTTGGTTTTATTTATTTTTTTGCCAACACACGGCAACTAAGCCAGCAACTTTCTTTGTGGAGGGTTAGCTACAGAAATTGTTTTCTCTTCTTCTTCTACTCTTTTTATATATTTTTATTTTAAGGGTTTGCTCATGCATATTTATGCCACTTATTTTTTTGTCAGTATACGAGCCAAACTCACAATTCGTATGCCTTTCATTTTGTATGTCTGTCGAGTTCTAAGTCGTTTGTTTTATTTGATTTCATTTAGCCTCCAAGCCGTAATTAGAAGTGGAAGGCCCCACATTGCCATTGAGTCGTAGGCCCATGAATATTTATGAGTATGGATTTAATAAATATTTTTATATATTTGCCTGTTAAGCTATTGGCTGTGCGCTGCATAGGTGCATTATACTGACAGGAAAGTCTCTCATTTTGTTTTGCGTTAGTCGAGCTCTTTTTATATAAACAACTTTGCCATAAGGTTAAAAATCTCCCAGCAGTAAAAGCTCTTTAGCTCAGCTATGCGGAAGTGCCAGACAAATCTTAAGTGCTAATGCGAAAGTCCAACATAAGCATATAGGTGAAAAAAAAAGAAAGAAAACACATGTTGCCAGAGCGGCTACAATTTGGTATCCAACATCGAGGCGAACTCCTAACGAGGCGAACGTACGATGAACGCGCAAGAGCCGAATCATACTAATTTCGAGTAGAGAAAACTATTTTCTAAATTAGAGAAAATCATATAGCTGGAACACACGTAAGTGGAGAGGCGAGTGGTGAGGCTTAGGCTTAAGTGCAACATGTGTTGCACCTAGAGTACCGCTACGATTACGATCGTTATCACCAAATCAGCGACGGAGGTTAATAGAGCTGTACGATCGATGGCAAAGTGCGATTTCGATTAACGATCAGCGCGCAGATCAGCAACGAAGCGGCACACATGATGGTCTCAGCTTCAGTTTCAGCTTCAGCTTTAGATGTGGACCCCGTTCTTTGCCACATTATTTGCAGATCTAGCACCTTGGCTACCAGCCAAGAGGCAGTGGTTCGTTCCGAGCGGCTGTGCACTTGACCACACTAATCCATCTTTATGGCAAAAATGTTGTGATAAAGCCTTGGCCGATCGATCGATCGATCGCCTGTGCCATACTCCGATTACGCTTAAGTAGACAGCAGGCTGCTTAACCCGCAGCTAAAGCGGTTGACTTTGACGAGATCCCAACGATCGTCAGTCGGCCGCTCGATCAGAGATCGTTCAGCAGCAGCAGCGGCAGCAGCATCAGCAGCAGCATCTGTTGTTCTGAAGATCATCTCGTTTTGGCTGGGCGTCATTTTTAGTAAATTACTTTAATAGTATAAACATAATCATTTGTATTGTGGCTGCTGCAAAAAAGATCTGCCAGTTGGTGGCTCGATCGTCAGATCGGCCCAGCATATGGCACTCGGTGCTTGTAGTGGGGAGCAGCAGCAGCT